GGCTGCGGGGCTGGGCCGGGGAGATACGGGCGGCGGTGCGGGGCGGTGCGGGGGGATCGGTGTGAAGCGGTGCAGACATGGCAGCTCAGCCCGATGTGGTGGGTACGGGGACAGCAACTGACATCGTCACACATCACATCCTGGTCTCTGAAGTTGGAGACCCAGATGTGATGGATGCACCATGCGGTGGATAAGGAACTGGCTGGATGCCCACACTCAACTATTCAATGTCCAAATGGAGACCAGTAACGAGTGGCATTCCTCGGGGGTGGGTACTGGGACCAGTGCCTTCCCCTGAGGGTAGGGACCAGATATCTTTGTCGGCAACATGGACATTGAGTGCACCCTCAGCAAGTTTGCTGACAACACCAAGCAGTGTGGTGCAGTCAGCATGATGGAGGGAAGGGATGCCATCCAGAAGGACCTGGACAGGCTTGAGAGGTGGGCCTGTGTGAACCTCATGAAGTTCAACAAGGCCAAGTGCAAGGTCCTGCACATGGGTTGGGGCAATCCCGAGCACAAATCCAGGCTGGGGATAGAAGGGATGGAGACCAGCCCTGAGGAGAAGGACCTGGGGCTGCTGCTGGATGAGAAGCTTAACATGAGCTGGCAATGTGACCTCACAGCCCAGAAAGCCAACTGCATCCCCAGCAGCGTGGCCAGCAGGGCGAGGAAGGGGATTCTGCCCCTCTGCTCTGCTCTGGTGAGACCCCACTTGCTGTGCTGTGTCCAGCTCAGGGTTCCCCAACAGAAGGACATGGACTTGTTGGAGCCCCACCTGCTAAAAACCCTGGGAAACCAAAAAACAAAGCAGTGCCAGGATTTTTCTAGAGGATAATCTTACAAGATTGTAATCAAGGAGTCTCCAGTTCCATTCCTGGGCTCACAGGTGAAGGGGAACCAAAGTAGGAATTTCTCAATTATGAAACTGATATTAGAGTTTGGCCAAACAGCATTTTCACGGCAAAAAAACCCTCAATCCTCAAAACGTGTATTCTCTTTCTCTGACCCATTTCTGTAAGTTGTCACTTTCCTGCTAACTGATAAGCAGTGAAAATTACAAGCTGTAACTGTGTGAGCAGAAGTTTGCTGGAATATAAACAATTCAGCGTAGTGCCTGAGCTGCAAATGAGCTGGAGTGATTTCCATCCAGCTGGCAGACTGACTGAGAACTGACAAAATTCGTCAACCAGCCTCAGAGGGTGTGACAGCTGATGTAATAGTCAAACACGTTAGAGTGGTGGTGAAGATGAATTAGCAAACCACAAAACCAGCCTGAAATTTTGAGTGGAAAATTATAATATACTGCCTTTCAGCCAAGGCTGAGCGTTCAGGTATGTGCCTTCTGAGTCTTCCAGCAGCTCCCACTTCCTTAGGACTTTTGTTAACATAGGAGTCACAAATAAATGTATATAAAGTATTGTTTTGCCATTTTTTACAAAGATCAGCTTAAGTAAATCACATAAACCCAAATCTGGTTAACCCCAAATTAATGATTTTTGTGTCTGGTTCTTACACCCAGCTCTGAGAAGCAGGGAAGTTAATGACAGGTGTTGTATATAATAGTGGTACTGCTTTAAATCTTAGAGGTCCGTGACATTTTGTTAGTATTCCAAAGGACTATCCAAAATTGTACATTTCAGGCCTGAAGAAACCCTTACCTTTATCTTCCCATCTGTCACTGTCCACTTGAGCTGAGCAGCAGGGTCTTTATCTGAAATGCCAAAATACACGCCTGTGAGTTCGGTTATACGGTAACAACGCAGAGAGCTGCTGCAGCTCATGCTGCTGACGGAACTGCTAACCTCACAAGTAATTCCTGCAAACATCAGACCGAACGTGACAAACAGAGGCTGAAATTGGTTGCACAAACTTTTCAGCTACATCTAACCTGAGCTTTTCTAGCAAAACTTCTCAGTTTAAACAAAGCCTCCCTTTTGTTCTATCTAAACTGTGTCTGCTCGTGCCTGGTACACTTGTGTTACAACACAGATCCCGCCGCACAGTCGATTTGTCTTTGTATGTGTGCCCTCAGAAAGCTAATTTTCTTCTCCCGGGCTTTTTGCTGTATCTGCTGCAGCAACTCCCTTTTGGCAGGTTGGTTGTTACTGGCTGGGAGCCGTTACGTGGCCACTAAGCAAAATTGGCTCTGTAATGATTGTCTTTGTTTATAATAACAACTTGTTGTATTATGGCTTCTCTTAATTCTATTTAATTTGATGTTTAATGAAAGTTAAAATAAATGTAAAAATGTGGAGAATACTGCTCGCTACCACCAGCTAATTCATTATTTAATCGGTTTAATGAAAGTTAAAATAAATGTAAAAATGTGGAGAATACTGCTCACTACCACCAGCTAATTCATTTTAAAGAAATATAAATGCGTATGTACTGCCAGGGAACAGCGACTTGTATGAAAGCTGTGTTTCACTCATGGCAATTTGAATTCAGTCGATGGGACTGAGAGGTGAAATAAAGTGGTGGTTTCAAGCCAGAGAGTGCACAAATCACTCCTCCAGCCACCAGCGAGCATCTCCTCATTGTTATTTCAGTTGTCGAGAACTGGTATCCATACGCTGCTCAACAACTTTCTCCAAAGAAGTACAGGATCCTCTCTGTGCTAAGTGCCCTCAGGAGCAGAAGATGCTCCATACTACGCTGGAACAGTCCATTAGCAACATCATTATTGTTGCCCATCTTCCATTGCATTATACATATTTCATACTGCAAGAGATTTTGACTTGGTTCCAAAAGCATCTCGGCTGTAAAAATATGACCTGAAACGCTCTGCAGCTGCAGTGGCTAAAGCTTCCCTTTCTGAACGGGAGGCAGATGAAACTATAGGGCACAGGAAAGGTCTTCTTCTGCTGAACAGATGCAACGGGGCAGCAATTGTCATTGTGACAGGGCCGTCTCGAAGTAATCCATGTAAATACTCAGTCCTTGAAATGGAACTGTCCACTAACTAAACACTAATAATCCAGGTATTACTTATAAATTCTAGCCCAATGGACCATTTAAGTGCAAAATTCAAAGCAACATTGAGACAGCCCAGTGGGCTGATCCAGAGGGAGCCAACAAACCCACTGAAGGGTTTCATTCTGCACTCTGTGGCAGCGTCCCACACTGCTTACCCCCCAGATCTCCCCAGGGGAGGAACGGAACAGAAAGATCCAAACGCATTCATTTAAATACCGGAAATCGATAATAAAAAAAATCACAAATCTTTGGGATATCAGTTGTTATTGAAAGATTTCATGTTGGGTTTTTTTGTGGGTTTTTTCGGGGGAGAGGGGGAAGACCTGTGACTTTTGTTCATCTGTGAAAGGAATGAAAAGCGATCACTGAGTCAGCTTCACCAGCAAACTTAAGAATGATACAGGATACAAACTTAAGGAGCTGAAGATGTGGAAAAACATTTCTTGCTCAACAGCTCCTTCTACTGCTCACATGTAGCACGAAGCTACCAAGGCATAACTTCATGTTTTCACGCATTGCCTGCAGAAGCAAACAATCTGCTAATATAAACAAGTATTGATCGTCTATTTAGTGTTATAATACACGGGGATTGGGTCTATGTTGCCTGTTATGCAATAAAATTGGAAATTATTTTGGGTCTAAGAGAAAAAAAGCAGCATACAACTTTCATTCACAGGCAATTAATCATGGTACCCAGAATTAAAACACAGAATAAGATATTGGAAAATGCATTCATTTTTTTTTTTTTTTTAGTCTGCACTAACTAACTAACTAACACTGTTAGCATTATCATTTCTTGATTGCAAGAAGCCTCATTTTGTAAAGATACTTACAATGATAACTTCAATAATAATAATAACAATAAAATTTATCTTTTTTATTCTGCATGCAAATTGAATTTGCTATTATTTTATGATGAACAGGGAAGATAGATACAATACTGAATGGGTCATCAGCCTTACTGGACAATTTCACTAACATGAAGCATTTCACTTGATGGAAATTTCCTTGTAAAAATGCTACTGTACTGTTACAGATGTAAAAATCTTTAAAACATCTATTTTATAATATTCTAAAATGTGGAGTATGCTTCTGTTATTATTTACTGTATTCTTCTGCTATTTGAAAAATCTTCTCAGGATTTTCAGATTCAAACAGTGTTATTAGCATAAATCAGAAGTGCACAGTAATGTAGGATACTGCAGGTTAGTCCTTTCATTGCAGGTCAGAACACCAAAACTAATATTAAAATATTCCCAGAAGCCTACAGAGCCATCTCCCTTTTCTTCTGTTAATATATAAAATCACAGTAGAAAAAATAGTACCAATGATAACTATAAAATTGTATTTTTGCATGTCAGGAATAAAACTGCAATGCAGTAAAATCTCTCTTGGTTTACTTCTCAGATGTTTTAAGAAAAAATTATTTAGAATATTCAGAATGTTCTTTGGCCGTGACAGACACAGGTCTCCAGAGGAATAATGATATAGCAAAATCAAAACCTGCTTTCTACAATAGTTTCGATAACAGGTAAATAAAGTTTTAGTTTTTCTGCCAATTACTTTTATGCTTTCTTTCGATGTCAGTTGATATAAACAACGCTTCCTAATATTGTTTCTGCAATTTTATGTTCCAGAAAATGCCAAGCATTGCAGGTAAATTCTGCCTTCTCCCTTGTAAACCCATGAGAAATCCTATTACAGGAATCTTGCTCATCTTGCATCTCCGTTGAAGAGGAACATTTACAGATGTGGAATGAAAATAGCAATTTTCCACACAAGTTGTTCTTTTCTGTTTTCCATGATTCTCAATTCCCATTCCTCATTAAAGTACATCTTCCCATCTAAAGTCTGATGCTTTTCCTTTATTTCCTGGCAGCATAAAGTGACCTTAGCATCAGTGAGAATGAGAGCTGCAGGATGCAGGGAGATTTCTGGAAAACAGAGTCATGTTTTAATAGCATCTTTTATTTAAACATAAGATTCTGCTATGGAATAGTGTGCA